GTATGTAGGTCTTTAGTTATTCGGGTTTTCTCCCGCGTAGAATTAAAAGTACCTTGGCGACGTTTCGACGAAGTCACATTCATCATCTTCAGGCTGGTGTCTTCAGCTTCGTGCTTCTAAGAGTGGTGTGTGATCGCAGCTGTTTCTTCCTTTTAACTGCCAGTGGGGTTGGAGCTGATTGGGTGGGAGCTTGGCTGTGGGAGCTTGGCTTCGCCTGAAGATGACGAATGTGACTTCGTCGAAATGTCGCCAAGGTACTTTTAATTCTACGCGGGAGAAAACCCGAATAACTAAAGACCTACATATATATATATATACATACATACACACACACAGACACACACACACACAGAGACAGACAGACATAGACATACACACACACACATATAGTCTCTGTTTCTCTGTCCTCTCCCTCTCTCATCTAGGTCTGTCTGTTTATCATTACCTATCTGTCTGTCTATATCTATCTATCTATCCATCCATCCATCCATATCTATCTATCTATCTATCTATCTATCTATCTATCTATCTATCTATCTATCTATCTATCTATCTATCTATCTATCTATCTATCTATCTATCTATCTATCTATCTTATCTATCTATCTATCTATCTATCTATCTATCTATCTATCTTATCTATCTATCTATCTACCTATCTACCTATCTATCCATCATCTCTCTCTCTTAAATTAATATGTCCACCTATCTCCCCGAACATGACCTGGGTGGCATACAACCAGCAATTAAAACAATTATCACAGCTGTTTTAAAAAAGAAAGATATAAATAAAAGGAAGCTTGTGGGAGAAGAATGTTCATTTCAGCATAATGCAACCATCACACAAGCTGCCCCACAGACCCTTTGGGGCAGTGATGCCCTCAAGGTAGGACTTTAGAATCCAAACTTGGAATCCTTCCCCCCCCCTCCAAATGAATAGGAGAGCCCCTAGACAAAATAGGGCTGGGTGTTACGGTTTTAATTAAGGGCATAAGCGACATACATGCAGTTTGAGTTTGTGATTTATACGATGTTAAGCATCCTTAGTGGTTTCTATACTATCACAAGTAGCTACTGTAATGGCACGTTCAGAAACTGTAAACGCCATGATGCTTTAGGTCCCGTGTTTATTTACTTAACATTTATATTTTACTCTTTTATTCTTTTTACATACATCAGCACTATCCTTCCTCCTTTCCCCTTCCTTGTCTTGTCCTTCCTTCCCTCCTTTGATAGACAGATGATTGATAGATAGATAGATAGATAGATAGATAGATAGATAGATAGATAGATAGATAGATAGATAGATAGACAGATAGATAGACAGATAGACAGACAGATATAGATAGATATAGATAGATAGACAGACAGACAGACAGATATAGATAGACAGATATAGATAGATAGATAGATAGATAGATATAGATAGATATTATATAGATAGATATAGATAGATATTAGATAGATAGATAGACAGACAGACAGACAGATATTAGATAGATAGATATAGATAGATATTAGATAGATATAGATAGATATTAGATAGATAGATATAGATAGATAGATAGATAGATAGATAGATAGATAGATAGATAGATAGATAGATAGATAGATAGACAGACAGACAGATAGACAGACAGATATAGACAGACAGACAGACAGACAGACAGAGGCAAAAGTAGGACAGCAGATCTCCAGAGTCCCTAAAGGAGGGACCAAAACACAGAGATGAAAGGGACAGTTCTCCTTTTGCTCATTTTCCTGATCTCTACCTTCCCATCTTCGATGGAGACCTCAAGGCAGAATTGCTAACCCAGGAAGATCAATTTACTTTTTTTTGCCTTCTCCTCCATGCAGGAAATTCTTCCTCGAAACCCCGATCCCCGTTTGATCATAGTTCCCTTGGCATTCTGAACGCCAACGGGGGGGGGGGGGCTGGCATCTTCCAGCGAAAGCCTTAGAGCGGAAAAAGCTCAAGGGGATTGAATTATTCAAGGAGACCGAACTCAAAAGCATGTTAAATTTCTCCCCCCTTCCCCGTGTGTGTGTGTGTGTGTGTGTGTGTGTGTGTGTGTGTGTGTTCGGGAGTGGGTGGGATTGCCCAAGCAGTAACTTGCCTTGTAGAATTTGAGGGTCATCATGAGGACTATGAAAAGAAGAAGCAGAGATCCCTTGAAAGTGTGTGTGTGTGTGGGGGGGTTAAATGAAGAATTGCTGTGGGAGAAATGGATTGGCTGAAGATGGTGATTTAATTTTTTTTTAAATCGCTCTGCATCAACAAGATCAGAAGAAGTGATAATATCGCTTTATACCTCACTACTGAGGCCTCACTTGGAATACAGCATCCTGTTCTGGTCCCCACCATACACCAAAGACGCTGAGACCCTAGAC